GTTGTGTAATCTCACCTTTCTAAGAATATTAATAGCTTGACATTTCTCAATGTGAGCTGACATTTGGCAGCACCGAAGACTCCCGATTGCGTTGCTCCTTAGATCTAAATGTTTTATATTAACAGAGATTATTCTCTGTCAAGTTCTCAGAAGCCTGGATTACTGTAAGAGGTTGATACTTCAAATGATTAAACTTTATTTACTGTAAGACAGATGCTCTGAAAAGTTTGGTGTGTAATGGCAATTATTAGACTTAGTTTAAATGAAACAAGGGGCTATTGATTTTTTTAAAATCACCGAATCCTATTTGTTATTTACACAGTATTGTTTTTGTTTGTTTGTTTGTTTTTTGAGGAAATGATTCTAATGTCTGCAACAAAACAAATGTTAACTTCTTTTTGCTGATTAGTCATGTACAATTAAAATATTTGTTTTATTTGATTTTTCATTATTATATTTAAATAATCTATTGACCGAACTGCTGTATTGTTATTAATAATATACTATTAGAAAACTAAGCTCTGAGTCTCTAAGTCTCTATCATAGTTAAAAGTCTACAATTCAAAGAATAACATACTGTAAAACTTTCTAGTGCAATGTTTATTAGCAGAGAAAAGTACAAATTGTACTGTAGATGCATAAAGCAGCAGTTGTTAACGTTACAATTTATCAAACGCCATCAGTTGAAGTCTTATGAAATCTAAGCCACAGTCTGAACTCTGCCACGCCACATTCGCTGCACTTGTTCCATTCAACTCTTCAATGATGTTGAATATTGAATTTCGGTGTTGACATATTTACCCTATACAGATATAAACTACTGGTCAAAAGCTTTAGGCACCTCCGTTTTTTCAGTTGTTCAACAGGCCAAACAAACCTGTGTCAGTCTTTCTGTAAATGAAATCAACTACTTTTGGGATAGACAGCAACGTTGCAGTTGTTCCTACAGCTGTGTTGCAGTCTGGACACTGTGCTGCCATTCCATCATTTGAAGCTGACTCTTGTTCTTTTCTCTTACACACAAAGGTTGGTCAGCATGGAGGTGTTTTTGGGTCATTGCTCTGCTACAGGATGAAACCCTGCAAAAAGTCTGGCTTTCTTTGTTAATGATCTTTTAAAAATAATGCTTCAGAGGGTGTTTGCTCCAACTTTGCCTTTGTAGAAATGGAAGCAGTTGTTGCACGTCATCGACAAAAGTTGGGACACCTGTAGGAATCGTTTTATTTTCTTCCACTGCTGAGAAAATATGGAGGTTAACCTGTTACTTGATCCCCAAAAAAGGCCTGTTTTATCTTAAAATTATAGCTTCATGGGCTGTACTCATATATACTCAGAGGTAGAAAGAAACTAACATTTATTCAAGTACTGTACTTAAGTACAATTTTGAGGCATCTGTACTTTACTTGAGTATTTTCATTCTCTGCTACTTCATACCCCAACCACTACATTATACAGAAAAAATATTCTACTCCTTACTCACTGGATTTATTTGATACATTTAGTTACTAGTTTACTGTTCAGACTGTGATTAATTAAACAAATTACACTATAATCATAAGACTTTATTGATCCCTGGTGGGAAATTCTCAAGCTACCCAGTAGTATGTGAAGTACTTCAAATTATAAGCATACAGTATAAGGTAGTTAACATTAGTTCTATGTTTACCAGCTGCAAGATTAACTGTGATGTACACAATTATACACCAGTAATTATAGTCCAATAATATGATATACATTACTGTGAACTGTGCCATTCTGCATAATGAGTACTTTTACTTTTAATACTTTAATACTTTTGTATTTTTTACTTAAGTAACAATTTGAATGCAGGACTTTTACTTATAACAGAGAATGTTTACACTGTGGTATTGCTACTTTTATTTAAGTAAACAATCTAAGTACTTCTTCTACCACTGCTTCTACTGTATTACACCAGAATCAGGATTACTTGCATGTAAATGACAATATTTGTTTTAAAATCATTGTTGCCTTGATTTTTTTCTATCACCTAAATCAGCTTTTCTGTCATTTTATAATTTTTTCCACCATACTTGTGAGTGTGACGACAAACCTGTAACCGCTCATATCCATTTTTGGCGGGCACATTCTTGGTAATATAAAGCTGAGCAGATCATTCAATTGCCTCATTCTCCAGTTAGGAGCTGTGGTGATGATGTGGCTCCTTCTTTTCATCTGCGTCGCTCACACTGAGCTGCTGATGTCACAGGCAAAAGGCAAGTCTATAGATTTAACTCTATATTTCTGACAATTTAAAGCTGGACAGTGGTGTTTTAAATCTCCCTATTAAGAAAAATATAGTCATTGCATAAATTATTTTTAGAAGGCAAGCACATACAGGCACTGCAGGAAATGTCATGCTGAATCTACAAAATTATTTCCTGAAGCTAAAAGCTCCACTGAAGAGATGAATGGTTTGGTGAACCACACAGTTTAAGAAAAATTTAGTCATTGCATAAATTATTTTTAGAAGGCAAGCACATACAGGCACTGCAGGAAATGTCATGCTGAATCTACAAAATTATTTCCTGAAGCTAAAAGCTCCACTGAAGAGATGAATGGTTTGGTGAACCACACAGTAGTGATTTTATATACATATATACATGCAAGCAAAAACATAGCAACCAGGTTCAGGTCTACTCATGAAGGGGAAAAGTGCTATTAGAACGTTTTAGCATTTGCTCTGAGGTTTTCAAACTCTAGATATAGTTCCGCAGTCAGAAACATTATTATCATTGTTTTGTTGACCTCTGTTTGGACAAAATTAGACAATTTTGCTAATTTTAGCAGATTTAAATAAACAAAACTAACTAACAAAAATTATATATATAAAAAAACTCATTTTCATGTATTTTAAAGAAATCAGTGAGCAGTTTAAAATGTTGCTGAATCGCAAGTTTTCATTAAAAATGAATGAAAATGATCAAAAATCACACCACGAGTGTGCAGTCTGAAAAATTTATGATGATGATGATTATTAAGGTAAATCTTACAATGCAGAAGATACATCAGAAATTTTGTTTTTATAATGCGGCTTTTAAACATTTCAGAATGAAGCAATTTGGGTGATATTCAAATAGATTTTAATTAAAGTAATTTTGAATAATTTTAGAATTATACAGTGTTGTGATTAAAGATTATTTTCAGATATTTGAATGAAATGTTCAAATCTGTAGCATTTACAGATGATTTTAATCAACTTTTAAACTAAAGGGTCACTGCAGCGCTACCACCAGAAAAAATGTCCCTGGTCCAATACCAGAAACGACCACTATATGACATGGGGGGGCTCCACAAAATTAGTAAAAGACATCTTTGGTGTAAATCTCAATATTAGTCATATGTCTGACCTTTTGGTAACATTATTTTTCACTTTCTGCCAATACATTCTTAAAGAAACACTTAGAATATGGGAGAAACTATGCCAAATGAATATATACAGTACTTGGATTTTAATTAAATTTATATTTTTCCCATTATTAGTACAAAATAAAATACTTATTGTACAGGACCCCGAAGCGGCAGTTATGAGACTACAGTACATATTTATTCCTCTACTATATCAATTCTTCATATTGTACTATATGAAAAATTGTGTTAAAACATTTAGACTGACATCAATAAACAGAAACATATTCAAAAGAAGAAAAAAAACAAAAGGCTTCACAGTCAAATTTCAGGTGATATAAAAGGCCATTTAGTATGGCAGAGCTCACAAACTCTAAATTAAACAACTTAAATGAATGTGTACCCTACTCCATTTCCATACTTCTATGAACCTTCTGCCATGCAAACAGGCGAGAACTGGCTGATTCTGAAAGGTGAAAACAACCCGTGTGAAGGTCATGTTGAAGCCTACCACAACAGGACATGGGGATACGTTGGCGATAAAGGCTGGAACAGGACAACAGAAGAAGTGGTGTGCAGGAGCATTCACTGTGGGACACCTGTGTCAACAGAAGACACACAGAGGGACATGAGTAGGCAGGTCTGGCTCAATGAATTGGCTTGCAAGGGAACAGAGAGTCAACTATGGGACTGCCAATATCCTGGTTGGGGCATCAGCTATTACAGAAAGGACACCGTGAAAAAGATCAGCTGTTCAAGTGAGGCTGCACTGTTACATTGATGAGGAGTATAACATAAAAAATATTTTGTGCTACAAAAGAATCACTAAGGATAATCCAAGAATGATAAAATGACATGATAGCGATGATGATATTGGCTGTGTATTTTATACTGTATGTTAATGGCTGTTACTTGCTTTTGCTCTTCTAGATCAAATCAAAATAAGCCTGGATGGATTTCGCTGTGAAGGAGCTGTCCAGTACTCCATAGATGGGAAAACACCTTCGGGTTACTTCTGTAGTGAGGACTGGGGTAAGAGTTAATATCCTACAGTACACATCAATGGGATTCAGCCGTGCACAAGATCAAAAGAGAAATCAGCACATTTGTACATGTGAAGTGCACATGGAGTAACCAACATGGAGGATGTGAAATGAATATTACTGGACATGGGGGTTGGAAGAATTACAAGTAAAAGTCCTACATTCATAATGCTACTTAAGTAAATGTATATAAGTACCAGCTGCAAAATGAACTTGCATCAAAAATAAAATTTAAAAACTTGAAGTTTCTGATATGTATTTTATTTTGTTGCTACTAATGCTTTAATGTGTAAGTGGAAATATTTAAAATTGTGCTTAAGTATAATACTTTATTAAATGTACTTTGTTGCTTTCCACCTATGGTATTAGTAAATTCAGGCAATGTGGTAAACAAAAAAACTCTATGAGAAATAACAACATAGAAATTTTGTTTTTTTTTAAAACATGCAACCTTTTTTAATATGCAGCCTTTTCTCAACTACTACCTTTAAAGATTCACAGCAGCTTTATTGCTTGGTTTTAATTTTATAATGAATTTAAATGGATCTTTATCAGTCACTTCTTCCGCTCAGAAAAAAACTGTACTGGCATCACTATTGTGAAATGTTTACTACTATGCTAATAATTATTATCTTCTTTTATATATGACTCCTCTCACATAAAGGAAAAAAAGAAGCCGATATTTTATGTGAAAGTCTCGAATGCGGTAAATCCAGGGAGATCCATCTGCACAAGTGGAGGGTTTGGAAAGGATTCCAAAACTCAAAAAAGATGATGATCAAGTGTGATCCAGACATTATAAAAGACATAAACAATCTGTGGCAGTGTGCAACTCAACAATCCACAGCATGCCAGTATCCTGCTTCTGTCATATGCACAAGTAATGCACACTCTCAAACACATTTAATGACAAAGTTTTTCACAGCTGAAACAGTGAATTAAGAAAATGGTTAATTTAAACAGATCATAAGAGGCTCCAACTCAAAGGAAATGCATCAAATGTCTGTTCTGGGCGGCTGGAGGAAGAGAACGATGGCAAATGGAGTCCTATGATAAAACCAGAAGTTGCCAAACCTGATATATGGTGTCAGCAAATGCACTGTGGTATCAATATCAGTTACAGCACGGGTAGCAGCAATGGCAAATGGAGTCCTATGATAAAACCAAACAATGCCACACCTGATATATGGTGTCAACAAATGCACTGTGGTAACAATATCAGTTACAGGACGGGTAGCAGCAGCACCCAGTTGACATGCACAGGTAATTCCGATGTTTCCACAACCTCAACGCAACCACTCTATAGTTGTATATTCCTGATCAACCATGATCTTGAACCAAAAACAAACAAATGACAAATCGAAAGAGAAAAACAGTCTTTCAATTTGCATTAATACATTTTTCACAAACTAACTTGAGGCACTTGAAAATCATGACATTAAAAACTCATTTCTACATTTCTCTTCACAGACAATGTTAATGTAGTTCTGATGGACAATGGTAAACCCAGCAAGTGCTATGGTGCAGTTTACATTAAAGTGAATGAAACACGTTTGCCTGTGTGTGCCACCACCTGGGACAGTAAGGAAGCTGAAGTGGTCTGCAGAGAGCTACAGTGTGGGAAAGTGAGTGTCTGACTGTCGGCCTTCAATAGCACTAATTTAAAAGTGTTTTATTTAACGTTAGCATATGTAACTTTGGCTGAACAACAGAAACTGTGGCAGTAAGTGCCATGTGCAAGATAATACTAAATGCTAACATGCAGTGTATCAGAAGCAGTAATGGCAACTACACAGAAATATTTGCTAACATTAGCCACCAGACAGTACTGTTCACACCAAAGTAAAACTGTAGCAGTAAAAACCCAGAGTGTACTGAACTAAACAAGGGTTTGTTCAATGTTATACTGCATTTACAGTAGATTGTTGTTACTTCAACCTTTCATTTGAAAGAGGATGAATGTCTGTGCAGATTCTCAGTCATCCAGGTCATAGTAAACTGAAAAAACTTAGAAAAAATCAACTGGACTAGATTTCTAGGTCGAAGACGTTTCACCTTTCATCCAAGAGGCTTCATCAGTCCTTAACGACTCGTTGCAGCCCGGTATCGGTGAGAGTCATTGCCTGTCTTTGAAACCTCCCCTGTTGACCGACACCTATTGTCCTGGTGGGCATGTTTGGGCAGAGATTTCAAAACAGGATTGTAGATGGAAGACAAGTTGTGTCTTAGTCCACCACCCCTATTTAGTGAGGGGTGTTCTATTTGTACAAAAATAGCTTCCTTAACTCCTCTCTCAAACCAGCAATGCTCTCTGGAGAGGATCTGGACTTGACTGTCCTCAAAAGAATGTCCTTTGTCCTTCACAGCCGCTTCACAAACACATGGCCCAAGAGGAAGAATGTGTTCCACAGGCTTATTCACATTCTTGCTGAGTGTTCAATAAAAAGTTTGATACCATTCTCATATCTGTCCTCTTAAAATGAACCCACAGTTATCTTAGCTTAGCATAAAGACTGAAAACAGGGAGAAACAGCTAGCCAGGGTATGTCTGTAGGTAAATGTTTCTCTGTATCTTAATGTGTCAATTCAAGCTGCCAGGCGTTATTGAATAACATGATAAACAAACTGAAATAAATGCTTTCTTCTAGGTGGTTAGTATTGAACGCAAGCCTGCAAAACAGGGCATAATGGACTCAGTGGAGTGTTTGGGCAACGAGTCTTCACTGTGGCACTGTCGAGCCAAGCGTGACAACTACCCTTTACAATGTAGACACAGTGCTTACGTAGTCTGTGCAGGTGAGATATGGCAGTGACCATACTGTGATAATGTCTTCCTGTTATCTGTAATAACAATTATGGTTATTTAGTTTTAGAAGAGATGCCTTGAAAGGGTAAAACTTTATTCTGACATTGCATTGTGAAGTTCGGTGATTTCTCCTCAATTATTTGTAGTAAGAGTTTTTATTTTGTATGTGCCCAATGTTTGACAGCTTTCTTGTCATGTTACAGCTAGCATAAGTGTAAGACTGATGGATGGTCCTGGAAAGTGTGCTGGGAGAGTTGAGATCCAGCATGAGGGCAGATGGAAACGGGTCAATAAAAACAAATGGACAGATACCAGTTCAGATGTTGCCTGCAAACAAATGAACTGTGGAAAACAAAGAAAATCCAGCAATGAAATTTTCAGCAAGGGTTCAGGGGATTTCCTCACTAAGGCTGTGACCTGCCAGCCAAATGCCTCGAGCGGATTTCCTCACTAAGGCTGTGACCTGCAAGCCAGCTGCCTCGAGGATATCTGAATGTATTGAAGATGACAAAAACAACCACAAGGAGATGGAGACACTGGGGATAACCTGTGAGGGTGAGTGTTTTTGTTTGAGTTAGTTTGTCTGTTTTGCTCCACAATCCCACATCTCATGATTTTCAGGCAAAAACAAGTCTCTATACTTGCTAACCTTGTTCAAGAGGTTCTGAGGGGCTTGAGCCTATCTCAACATGCATTGTGTTGAAGGAGGACACCGCAGACAAGGTGCTATCACAATCCTAATACTTACCACACACCTCTTTATCCTTTCCCTCTCAGAGCACAAGGTGATATTTCTGAAGGGAGAGAACCCCTGTTCTGGCCTGGTGGGGGTAGAGCATGGCAGTAAAATCTACTGGCTCTCTGGGTCTAACAAGACATGGAACCAACAGTCTGCAAACATAGTGTGCCAGCAGATGCACTGTGGGAAGGCCACCTCCCTTACATCTGTCCCTAAAGCTGATATGGAGAAAGTTGTTTGGGATAAATTCTACAACTGCTCACCCAACACCAAGTCTCTGTTTGACTGTGAAGCTAAAACAGCATCACCTGACCACAATTACACTATTGCCAGTGTGACATGTTCAGGTAATGTAAGGAAATGAATGTGATGGGAACAGTAACTTAATTATAGACACATCTTTTAGTCCTCATGGCATTTCTTTATCCTGTTTATCATGGCTGTTCTCTGACCCAGTTTGAAGAGATGATGCATTTTCCACCATGCAACACAAACTGACCTGATACGGCCACTTTAACATTTTGAACATGAATATAACTTTTAATGGTCATGACTGTACCATTGCTGGCGTGACAAGGATACTAAAATCAAACATCTACTTCTGCTTATTCCTTCTTGTTTCCCACAATAGGAACAATCTCAGTAAATCTGACCAATGAGTGCTGGGGGAATGTCAACGTTTGTGTAAATGGGAAGTGTGGAGGTGTGTGTGCAGATACCTGGACACACACACAGTCTGAGATACTATGTAAATCCCTTGGCTGTGGGGATAAAGCCCTACGTCCCAACAACCAGCCTAAGAAAAGTTCGGTGATCTTTAAGAGTTTGCACACTACAAAGCAGACCACCAGCCTGACCCAGTGCAACTTCGTTAAATATAGTGACAGTGATACCACCTGTAATCAAAACCCAGCCTATGTTGTTTGCTCAGGTAATGGGTTATCTTTTAAATATTAGTATAATCAAAAAATGTTTTCTTTTTGCTCAACTTGAATGACTCATGGATTTATACAACCTCCAACTGCTTATTTGTATAATGTGGTTTACCAAGGAGGTGATTCTTTCAGATTGCTAAGTACTTAGCTGAACATTTCATAGCTTTTGGTCAAATCTGGGGAGAAGGTGGGCCAGAGGCCAAAGAGCAACTCTTCAGGTTTTAGTGATCTGTCAAGACAAAGCTAATTTTACAAAAGCAATACATTTCCACCTAAACTAATTTTCACTGATTTGAAAATTTTTGTTGAATGCACACAGCTGCATCATCATGACTTTTATTTTTGCATAACCTGATATTGTGTATTCTGATTTGATCCAGATTTATTTTTTTATTTTATTAAAATAAGAAATGGCTTAAATAACAAGTTTCATTGTTTTGTTTCAGGCAGCGTCAAGCCCAGATTTAGCATTTCTAGCACAGAATGTTTTGGAAATGTGCAGCTGTCCTATGAAGGAAAATGGCTCCCAGTGTGCAATGAAAGTCTGGAAGACCTGAAAATACGAGACACCATCTGTGAGGAGCTGGGATGTGGTCATGGTCTCGGCATTATTGAACACTTTGGACCTAAACCTGCAGGAGATCATGTCATTTCAGAACTAGAGTGCCCTGGCACAAAGTCATTAAAAGCATGCAACATCACTTCTAAAAAAACATCCTGCTCTCTAGCTGGCCTGAAGTGCTCCAGTATGTGTAGTTTTCATTTTTTTCATTCTACCTAATTTGAGCATTATATTTTATTTTATAACCTCGGTGTAAAAAGACAAGTTGTAGTTTTACAGGTAGCACGTTTTATTTCTGAGCCAAGCTTGAAATCATAGCTAAGCAAAGCTAAGATAAGATAACATAAGATAAGATAAACTGGCTGCTGACTGTAGCTTTAAATTTAATGTGAGTGGTATCAATTTATTGTATATCCCCAAACCAAATATATACATATATATATGTACAGTATATACAGTAAGAATTAGCTGCAAAGATCCAAAGAGCTGCATCTTTGACATTCTTCTAATTATGTCATGTTTTGTGAGGTTTGTATTTCCTGCATTTTATTTCACCTGTTTCTGCTGTTTGTCTTAGACTGGAGAAAGATTAAGGTCAAGGGAACCTGTAGTGGTGCTGTGTACATAGACTCAGAGGGAAAAAGCAGTCCTGTTTCCACTGGAGGATGGACAGAAGCTGAAGGACAAAGGCTTTGCCAGGATTTGAAATGTGGTGGATACAAGTCAATAAACAATCACACAACATCAGAGACACATCCTTTCTGGAACAGAAGCTTCAGCTGTGCAGATGTACAGAATCCACAGAACATCTGGGCCTGTGAAAAACAAACCTCACCCATAGAGGAGCAGCAGCTCCTTATTGAATGTCAAGGTAAAACCTGTTTCTCAAATGGTATAGAATCTTTGCAGGACACCCCTTAAACTGAGACATAACACCAGTAGTGTGTAAGAAAAACTATAGGCTCTTTTATTTTTACAGATACCATATACAGGTTACTTCACAATTATTGACCATTAAAGGAAGAGTTAATGGGAAGTTTCTGTTTTCATGTGATTATACTAAATATGAAACTAAAGCCGGCAGCGTATCTTAAATCACACAGAGGATGCAGGAATAGGAAGAGCTAGCCTGACTCCATCCAAAGGTGAAACGCACCTCTAAAGCTCACAAAATAACACGTTTAATTGATTAGTTTAGTGGGTAAAAGCAAAGTGTGCAAATGTGAATTGTGGTTTTCCAGTGGTGATAATCCCCCAGGTTACTTAAGGTTTTAGCTTTTACACTACTAGTCAAAGGTTTGGACACACTTTCCCAATAAATAAAATGGGAAAGTGTGTCCTAAACTTTAGTAAAAGCTAGGTTGTATATACAGTGAGGAACAGAAGTACACCCTGCGATTTTGCAAGTTCTCCCACTTAGAAATCATGGAGGGGTCTGAAATTCACATTGTAGGTGCATTCCCACTCTGAGAGACAGAATAAAAAAAAAAAATCAGGAAATCACATTGTATGATTTTTAAAGAATTTATTTTTCTTGCACTGCTGAACATAAGTATTTGAACACCTGAGAAACAGCAAGAATTCTGGCTCTTAAAGACCTGTTACTGTGCCTTGAAAAAGTCCACCTCTACTCCACTCATTAATCTAAATTAGTAGCACCTGTCTGAGCTCTTTAAAGACACCTGTCCACCCCACAGTCAGTCAGACGCCAACTACTACCATGGGCAAGACCAAAGAGCTGTCAAAAGACACCAGAGACAAAATTGTGGACCTCCACAAGGCTGGAAAGGGCTACGGGGCAATTGCCAAGCAGCTTGGTGAAAATAGATCAACTGTTGGAGCAATTGTTAGTAAATGGAGGAGGCTAAAGACGACTGTCAGTCTCCCTCGGACTGGGGCGCCATGCAAGATCTCACCTCGTGGGGTATCACTGATGATAAGAAAGGTGAGGAATCAGCCCAGAACTACAAGGGAGGAGCTGGTCAATGACATGAAGAGAGCTGGGACCACAGTTTCAAAGGTCACTGTCGGTAGAACACTACGCCGTCATGGTTTCAAATCATGCATTGCACGGAAGGTTCCCCTGCTCAAGTCATCACATGTCCAAGCCCATCTGAAGTTTGCCAAAGACCATCTGGATGATCCAGAGGAGGCATGGGAGAAAGTCATGTGGTCAGATGAGACCAAATTAGAACTTTTTTGTCTAAACTTCATTCGTCGTGTTGGGAGGAAAAAGAAGGATGAGTTGCATCCTAAGAACACCATCCCTACTGTGAAGCATGGGGGTGGTAACATCATGCTTTGGGGGTGCTTTTCTGCGAAGGGGACAGGACGTCTGCACTGTATTAAGGAGAGGATGAATGGGGCCATTTATTGTGAGATTTTGAGCAACAACCTCCTTCCCTCAGTCAGAGCATTGAAGATGGGTCATGGCTGGGTCTTCCAACATGACAACGACCCGAAGCACACAGCCAGGATAACCAAGGAGTGGCTCCGTAAGAAGCATATCAAGGTTCTGGAGTGGCCTAGCCAGTTTCCAGACCTCAATCCTATAGAACATCTTTGGAGGGAGCTTAAACTCCACGTTGCTCAGCGACAGCCCCGAAAACTGACAGATCTAGAGGAGATCTGTGTGGAGGAGTGGGCCAAAATCCCTGTTGCAGTGTGTGCAAACCTGGTCAAGAACTACAGGAAACATTTGACCTCTGTAATTGCAAACAAAGGTTTCTGTACCAAATATTAACACTGATTTTCTCAGGTGTTCAAATACTTATGTTCAGCAGTGCAAGACAAATAAATTCTTTAAAAATCATACAATGTGATTTCCTGAAAATTTTTTTTAATTCTGTCTCTCAGAGTGGGAATGCACCTACAATGTGAATTTCAGACCCCTCCATGATTTCTAAGTGGGAGAACTTGCAAAATCGCAGGGTGTTCAAATACTTCTGTTCCTCACTGTAAGTTCAGAAATGTAATAAGATGGAATAACACAGGGAAAAAGTACTGAACACACTTACTGAAATTTATTTAATACTTTGTACAAAAGCCTTTGTTGGTAATGACAGCCTCAAGACACCTCCTGTATTGAGAAACTAGTCGCATGCATTGCTCAGGTGTGATTTTGGCCCGTTCTTCCACACAAACAGTCAAATCTTGAAGGTTCTGTGGGCCTCTCCTATGACCTCTGATCTTTAGTTCTCTCCATAGATTTCCTACTGGATTCCAGTCAGGTGATTGGCTGGACCATTCTAGCAGCTTTATCTTCTTTCTCTGAAACCAGTTGAGAGTTTCCTTGGCAGTGTGTTTTGGGATCATTGTCTTGCTGAATGTCCACCCTTGTTTCATCTTCATCATCCTGGTACATGGCAGCTGATTTTTATCAAGAATGTCTCAGTATATTTGTCCATTCATCCTTCCTTCAATTATATGAAGTTTCCATTGCTGTATGCTGAAAAACAGCCCCACACCATGATATTCCCACCTCCAAACTTCACTGTTGGTACGGTGTTGTTGGGGTGATGTGCAGTGCCATTTGACCTCCAAACATGGTGTGTATTATGGCATCCAAAGAGTTCAATTTTGGTCTCATCTGACCAGACTATATTCTCCCAGTATTTCACAGACTTGTCTAAATGTTGTGCTGCAAACTTTAAACTTCAACTTTAAGCTTCAACATGCCTTTTCTTCAGCAATGTAGTCTTGCATGGTGAGCATGCATACAGGCCATGGTGGTTGAGTGCATTACTTATTGTTTTCTTTGAAACAGTTGTACCTGCTAATTCCATGTCTTTCTGAAGCTCTCCACAAGTCATCCTTGGCTCTAGGACAACTCTTCTGATAATTCTTTTCACTCCTCTGTCAGAAATCTTTTCTGAGGAGCACCTGGTCGTGGCTGGTTTATGGTGAATTAATGTTCTTTCCACTTCCGGATTATGGCCCCAAAAGTGCTCACTGGAACATTCAGAAGTTTACAAATCCTTCTGTGATCAAGGCAATCAGTATGTTTTGCAACAATAAGGTTGTGAAGGTCTTGAGAGAGCTCTTTGCTTTTATCCATCATGAGATGTTTCTCTTGTGACACCTTGGTAATGAGACACCTTTTTATATGCCAGCAGTTGGGGCTGAACCAGCTGAATTTCTGCTGACAAGGGGCAGGATTGCTTTCTAATTACTGATAGATTTCAGCTTGTGTTTTGGCTTTCCAGGCCTTTTTGCACCTCCCTTTCTTCATACGTTCAATACTTTTTCGTGTCATTCCATTTTATTACACATAACTTAATTTGTGAACTTATTTGTTTTGTTTTCTCTGTATATATGGATTACTTGAGTTGTTACCGACATCTGGTGAAAATTTCATGTCAACAGCACCTTTAGAAATATATTTACTGAGAAAACTGGTGATGTGTTCAGTACTTATTTTACCTACTGTAATAGGATTAGTAGCCCTATGTTTCACATGGGTTACATAAATATTCATATTTTATTTTATTTAGGCATCTCTGTTTTATGTTGTCAGTAAAACGTGTTGATCTTGATGAACATAATATGCATTTCCACAGCAATAATTCAACCAGTCCAAGAGAATCCCATCACATTCACAGCCGCAGCTCCTACTCATCCATTTCAACACCAATACTGTATTTATTGATTAATTACTTTGTTGTTTTCTCAATCAGTGTTAAGCCACTGTCAAGAAACTCCTGCACAGATGTTTTCTGTTTCAAGATGTGTAGTGACTCAGACAGCTTAATCCATTCACAGAAAGAGCAGAAGATTACATGCAATAGGAATTAAGTATCAACTAACTAGTTCATTATTTCAGTATGTCTTGCCACCACTGGACTTTTTTATTATTTTAGTCCTAAATGAAAACCATTTAAGAATAGTTTTCATTGGTTAACCATAGGACACAGCTTGAGCTCAGTGCAGCTGCTAGCTGTGGCTTTAGTTCTTCTTCCATGAAGTAGTTGCATAACAAGAAATTTACAATAATAAGTTAAAATCTTATTCCAGCCTGGTATGCTCCCTCATGTTTGGTGGGACTGTTCCATCCACAGCGATATGGTATCATATCAGTGATACACTATCCCTTGGACATAAAAGCTGTTGCACAGTAATAGGCTCATGAGGTGCAATGGACAGCACTGTAGCCTAATAAGAAGGTGCTGGGTCTGAACCTCACTGCCAACTGGGTCCTTTCTATGCAAAGGTTACTTATTCTTCCCGTGTCTGCCTGGGTTTTCTCTGCTTCCTCCGGCTTCCTCCCACAGTCCGAAGACATGCAGGTTACGTTGACTGGTAGCTCTTAAATTGCACGTAGGAGTGAGTGTGAGTGGTTGTCTGTCTCCATGTCAGCCCTGTGACAGACTGGTGACCTGTCCAGGATGGACCCCGCCTCTTGCCTAGTGTCAGCTGGGACTGGTACCACTCCTCCGTAGCCCTCTTCATGAATAAGCGGTATAGATAATGGATGGATGGACGGACAATACAGCAGTCTAGTGTGTAATTAATACACTTTGCTTGTCTTACTGAAGCAAGTCAAATTCACTTCCTTTAGTGCAGAACAGCAACTGACTAGAGAGTTGAAGTGTTAAATAATTCTGCCTGTCAGTGGACATATCACCTTGGGTAAATGTCTGACTGAATTATCAGCAGCTGAAAATGTTTTGTTCTTGCTGATGTCTTACGGCTTAACTTGTCAGCTTGCTGAAATCATAGAGAGGTATACTCCAGGATGGACGAGTAGACTGTGACCTCATTGCTGGGTCTGGTTATATGACTGATGGACTGGAGAGGTTTTCTACCAGACAGGGCAGTGAGCAGTGGTGGAAGAAGTACTCACAACCTTCACTTAAGTAAAAGTAGCAATAC